AGCTGAAAATGTTAGGACATGTTATTCCCCAGATAGTTAATTTGTATAACTCTTATTAATATACAGTTCCATCTATTTGTGATAGTTCAATATGAATTAGATCCTCAAATAATGAGAGGAATTTTTTTTTTCTTTTGATAACTCCCAAGTTCCAAGATCGTTAAATTTTATATTCATTCTCATCTTTGACAGCGTCAACTTTTCTCTATCCTTAGTAGAAGAATAATTCAATTAATTTTGATAAACCCTCAAGAACATATCGTAAATATCGTATCCATTCATAAAAAATTTATTATGGATTATGATATCATTTACATTAGATTGAATTCCCCACTCCTTCCAAAGAAAAAAAAAACTCGATTTTAGATCCATCATCCATCCCTGAACTCATTATTTTAACCAGAACTTCTTTTCACATACCAATACAGAGGATAGAGATTAATACAAAGCAAGAACATAAACAAGGAGGGTTGAACAATTGCAATAACTTAGATTAAAAAGCCAAACATGACAATTTTTTCTTGTTATCATGGCATTTGATGAAAACAGAAATTGAGTCCTCCAATTTGAAGACTCAAATTCAACACTATTTGAACATGCATCTGTGGATTAGCTAATCCATAGAAGCTCAGAAGCAAAATGGGACTTACCCAAAAAACCAAGTAGGACACTACTGGGGTTGTGGATTTTGAGAGCAGTATAGAGACCCCATATGACATTATGTCCTCCAGGAGACTGTCTCCCACAGAAGACTATTCCAACCCTATCAAAGTTTGAAACATGTGTTAAAGAAAGAAAAACACATTGCCGCACCGATATAGTCCACTGTTCTGATAGGAAATAATTACATGAGAATGTGCAGTCAAATACACACATAATTCTTGTGATAGGAAGCAAAAGCTATGCGAAATTAGTAATTGCTAGAAAATCAGCAATGCAGTTTTTTGGTTGAATCGTATTTTATAGCTATAGGGAGGGATGATCAGGTGGACAGCACAAAAGGACCGAACGAGATAAATACAAAGCAAGAACATAAACAAGGAGGGTTGAACTGGTAAGTAAAATGCCACAGGATAAAACAATGTTTCTAAATGTCATAACGAATCTCCATCATTATATGAAAAGATCCAAACTACTTGCATATATGAAATGAAATAAAACAATATCAAGGGTATCATATTCAGATGTATAGAACAGTAAACAGAAGCATTTCCTGGAAATCACAACGCTGGCATTTTATGCAACAAAAAGACGTCGATAAGAATTGAATTAAGTACCTGATAGAAGGATGCTCGGTGATAATATGAGCATCAGCAACCTTGGCAGTTGCCCGAAGGAAATGAGCCAAATGCTGACCGTAGGTGTGTGGAAAGCTTCGACCGATGGTGTGAGCACCAGCTGGATCGGCAGCAGTGGTAGCATCACCAAATTCTACACGAACGGTCGTGCCCTACACAACAGCAGCTATATGTCAAAATACAAACTTGACATAATTTCAAAGTCCAACGACCGAACATGACCAGCGTTTGACCGAGTCCACACACTGTCTAGAGTAACAAAAACTCTGCTTTTGCAATCAGATGCCGAGATAATGCATTCACTGAAGTCCTATCACCCAATTTAAAACTAAGTGCTTGCACCGTCAGTATATTCCCTTCTCCTTTTCTCTTTTTCAAAGGAAGCAGGCAGCACGCACCAAAGCCAAAAACGCATGTCCGAGACCAAACTACGTTCGAGAAAACAGCAAAGTCACTTCTCAACCCCTGTGATCTACTACTGCAATCCACTCCTTCACTGATAGAACCCCAACAGACGACACTAACAATAAACACGAAGAGCTGGCGACAGGTTGCAGCAAAACGATACGAACGAGAACACGATCGTTTCCCAAGAAAACTCAGCTCAGTCCGCTCAAGATCAGATCCGCATGAACCGAGACGCACAACAACCACCGGCTCCGATCCACCGCGATCCCAAAACTCAGAAGCGACGGAGCTCAACCGGAACTCCGATCCGGTCGGAACCGGCGACTCCTCGACTACTCTCGGCTCCGATAGCCGGAAAAAGAAGGAGGAGTCCGAGCACGAGCATCACGGAAAACGCGAGAACGAGGAGGAGGAGGAGGAGGAGGAGGAGGAAGGGGGAGGACCTGAAGGCAAGGAGGGAGCTCGGGCTGGTAGAGAGATCGGTGCTGCTGGAGATCGGAGAGCTCCCTGGGAATGCCGTAGTCCGACTCCATTTCCCGATTCCGGCGGAGAGCTCCGGCGAGATAACGAGAGCGAGAGAGAGAGAGTAGTTGGGGGAGGAGGAGAAGAAGGAGCAGTGAAGTAGTAGTAGGAGGAGGAGGAGGGTGCGTGCTTGTGCTTGGAATGAGCTCCGGTTTTTATGTGATGGGTTTGGTTTTAGGGTGGGAGAATTAGGACACCATGAGCTTCGGTTTCGGGCGTTGCGACCAAAGAGCATGAGCAGGCCGATATTTTATTCTATTTTATTTTATTTTTAGGTTAATACCACCAAAAAAATTTCAAATTATACCCACAAATATCTCGAATTTTTTTTTATCTTAAAAAATCCTGAACTTATACCAATTTGACAAACATACTTAAATGAAATTGAAATCGAATATATATATACATATATATGATTTTTTTCGTGACACAAAGAAAAGTTGGGGATATTTGGATTTTTGGTAACACTGAAAAAGGTTTTGGATATTTGGGTACAGTTTGGATTTTTTTGTGATTTTTTTTTTTCAATCCGGGAAGGGAAAATTAAGGGGGGAAAGAGAGAAAATAGGAGACATAGAGGGGGCAAAATGAAAAAAAAAAAAAAAGGAAAAGAAAAAGGATCCGATTGTAATTTCGGGTTTCAGCCACGGTGCGGTCCGTATAACTACCTAACCTAACTTCCCTTCTTCTGTTTTCCTCGGTGGGGAGTCTTATTTTTTTCATGGATTTATTTTTATTTTCCCATTAGTACTACTTTCCCAATGAAATTTCTGAAAAGTGGAAAAAAAATAATACTCTTGATTTTGAATATTCATGAAAATAATTCCACATGATTGGTATTTGCATGTCTTGAAAGTGTCTAAAATTCGAATTTCAAAACGCGGTAAAAGTCGCTCTGACTTTTCATATAATTGGTAATTTGTTACAAAAGGTGAGAATTTTGAAATGAATGAATAAATAGAGGTCATATGGGTGGTAACTCAATATGGAAAAAATCCGATAAGTAATTTATATATTTCTTAAGTTACGCTAATAAAAGTTGGTGGGCGAAGAAAGCTCATATTGATATTGCATTTTAATTGAATTTCCTTGCCATATAGATTTGGGTATTATCTTATTAGGATTCTATGTGATGATGGTTACTTTTCTTTATAGTTAACCGATTAGGAAACCCGATGACATTATTTATAGGTGTTGGATGGTACTATTGCATCTCTTTATATTACGAATTGAAATTGAGATTTTGTTTAGTTGTTGCCAAAAGTTGACGCCTCTTTCTCTTTTCTTCCTACTTTTGTCTTGATTCTCTTTCCTTTCTAACCACTCCTACATCGGTGTCTCGTCACAAAGTTGGTAATTTTCAAAACTACCAAACGAAAAAAGAAAGACCCGAATTCAATCGACAACTTCAGACCAAACAAATTGAGCGAATAAGAGACACTAAATGAATAGAAACGGTAAATTCGAAGCGGATTTGTCGATGACCGACTCAAATAAGAGTCGGTCAGCGTCGGTAATTTTGTATGGAGGAGGCAATCAAACTTCAACGCGGTGATAAGCTGCGCCGAATAACAGTGTCGAAACGAAGGGATCGATATCAATGGGTTTGTTTTTTAGAGGTGGGGACAATACAACTTGGGAAAGAAAGCATCTAAGCTGGGGATATTCGTGCAAAAGGGGGGGTGGGTGGGTGGCTTGGATATTCAGATGAAGAGATCTCGCCACCACACCAACCACCCGGTGGGTCTACTCTCCGAGTCAAACCCGCACCTAACACTCCACCACCACCACCTCCTCCTCCTCCTCCTCCTCCTCCTCCTCCACCACCGCCACCAATGCTTCCTCAACTGAGCCAGAAGTCTCTTCCTCAACTGTGAGATTAGTGCCGTGATTAAGGTCCCAGAAGCACGCGATCTCGCCGCATTTCGGCCTGTCTTTTACCTACGGTTGCTACCTAACCACGGGCGGAAGTTCGAGCATGATTTGGTTCCCGTTTGTTAGGAAGGATTGGCAAGGGGCGAAAAAAAAAAAACATATTGCTTCTTGGGAAAGGTAATCAAAGAGCAAAGGAAAATAAGAGAATGATTTGAAATAGTTAGCTCCCCCAAATTTACTTGCTTTTTCGATTTCGTTTGGATTTTGCTTGATAATTAGAATTGCATTCTCTTCCTTTTCTGTTCTAAAATGAAATGAGGAAATGACCCAATTCTCTTCATTTTCTTCCATTTCATTCTTAAATATATAAACAAATTGAATCACATTTTCCTTTTTCTTTGGATTTTTTTATCTCTTCGTGGGTCATCATCAACATCCTATCATTCCATTATCTCCCATCCTCCTAACACAAGATAGTCGGTGATCTCAGATTGGAATCTCTCCACCGTAGAAGAGAACTAAGTTGTCAAGATGTAATTGATTACTACGATGTAAAGGCGTATCAATAAGACGAGGGAAAACCATGATCTACAAGGCGACTGAAGCGCAAACTTCACCGCACCCCTCATAACACCACGGCAAACCCCATGGCGATGACCATCTCCGTCGCAATGGTCACCCGAGAACTATCGCGATGGTCACCCGAGAACCACCGCGATAGATCTGATTCTGCATCTCGCACGCCCGTGAGATAAAGAGAGAGAGAGACAATGGCGACCACCGCACATCGTTCACGGTCACGTAGGAGCTATGACCACCTCGCAAGCCCTGATGAGGCCATTTTGAGTTCAAGTTCTAGTTTGAGAGAGAGAGAGAGAGAGAGAGATGGCCACCCAATAAACAAAATAAGATCATTGTTAGATATCATTGTAGCAACAAAATATGATCTTCCCACCCGCATAAGCCCCAAATCTAAGTTTGGAGGTCTCGAACAGAACAGCCATATGACACAAGCAAATGCGAAAGGATATACATAGAAAGGCGCTGAACCAAAATATGAACGACTTAGCAAAAGGAAAACTGCTAAAATTATATGGGCCGATCATGGGTGTGGTTCTGGGGGATTACTTACTAGTTCGGATCTCCTCAAAAGTCCTCATCTCCTAGCAATAATTCCAAATATCTTACACCATTTTAAACCACGGAACGAGAAACAAAGACAAACCCCGGTGCGGGAAATCGGTCGAAAGTCGCAAAGAAGAGACTCGACCTATGCCAAAACTCGGGGCAACAAAAATCCTTCCTTCATCTTCGTCCTCGACGCTTTGTATTTCCTGCTCTTGTCCAGGGTTTGTACCCCACAGGATCCAAACATCTCACTTCTTGCTCCTCTTGGAGCCAGAGGTTTCGGATTTCCCTTTCCTGCGTTTTCCCGCAACACTGCTTCCAGTGCCAGCAAGAGTGGCGTGGGCAGGGTAAATAGGCATGTGATGCATAGGAACCAAAACAGGGAACCCAGCGGCAGGGGTTCTGCAACACAGCAGTTAAAATTGGTATCAGCCGACATGCATAAAGACGACAGCAGCAGAAACTTATATTACAAATTTTTTGCATAAATTTCTCTTCAATTTTTCTTCCATGAAGGACGAGAGGAAATTTCTAGGAACTGACAAACAGCAGGTGACTAAACCATGTATACAGAATGTCTATAACCAACCAAGACTATACTACTTGACAAATGAAAGAACCAAAAAACTAGAAACTGCTCGCAATGACTTCCAAGATTTTATCAACTCCAGCACAAAATCTTGCTTATTCGAAACGAACATGTTGGTGCATAAGATGAAGCCGAAACGTTCTTAAGAATCGAACACATCAATCATCTAACATCTGCTCACAACACTAAGACATTGGCGCAAGTATAAGCTACATACGATGGTCACCATCAGCAAAGAACACCACACAAACAGAAGGTATATAATCAACCAAGACTCAGCAATGTCACATAATGAAAGAAAAAAAACTAGAAGCTGCTCAAAAAACTTCCAGAAACAATGGCCTCCAACATACATCTTGCTCTTTTTTTCTAAAACGATTTTCACTTTCCACAGAGATCAACTCGTGACCTAATACTGGATGCCCCCCAATCCCCACTAAACCCCTCATAAATCTTGCTAACTAAAGATCAAATTATTTTGGACAAAGATGATGCCAATAAGTTATTAACAATCGAACCCATCATCCACGTTGGAAGAAAGACATTGGCACAAGTACTTTGTACATGTGATTGTTAAAGTCAACCGTTAACAAACTCATCAAACAACATTCCAATAAATGCATCGAGACCCCAAATTTCTATGCTCGCGATACAAGTACCATGATATAAACAACAACAAAAAAGGCAAAGGGAGTTGGTAAGAAAAGTTGGACAATAAGGAAGGCAAGAAAACTTAGAAGACTTTGATGAGCATCAACTGAGTGCCATATATGTACTAAAGCACTGCTACTAGTAACGTTTAGTTTACTCTTTAAAGCAGTTCATTCACTTTGCAACACAGGGCACTGAGGATGCTCGGTAAGATATCATCGGTATTTACTTCAGCTGGATTCAAGTAAATCATCTTATCAAAACATAGTTGAACATATCAATCAGGAAAATGGTGATCGAGATTGAAAAGCTCAGCTACTAATTTTCAAGGTTTAAGATGCATACCCGAGAGCACGGCAGACTCCTGCTTGGCCACATTAGCACCACATGCACTGTTCTGCAAACTAAAACGCAGAGCTTGGTTTTCAGCCATAACGCACTGAAGTAATCTCCCAAGTCTCCTACATTCCCCCTCCAGATATTTGCTCTTCACCTCCAGATCTTTCAAATACATTTTCTTCCTCTCTCTCGACCTAACGGCAGCATCCCTGTTCCTCAGCTTTCTGAAATATATCAAACGACCTTTCATTAAGACGGCTTCAATAATATTGTACATGTCGACAAATGAATAAAATTAGCAATTTCTGTCTGTCCCTACATATTTATCCCTACAGAAAAATTCTCAGACAGCTCAATTCGGAATTCGAAAAGCCAGACGACCATATGCCTAGATCAATTGAAAGAAATTATGAAGCACTCCAAATTGGCAAGGCCTTGATGTCCACAATTCAAGAGCAAACATCCCTATTTAGACACGTTGTTCAATACCCCTAACATATAATGTTCTTCACGACATTCCAGAATGTTGAATTCTATGGCAAACTCTCTCGCGACTAAGTCCATGTGCAAAAGGCACGCCCATAAATCCTACAACTCAACCGGCTTCGTATCAGGAAAGAAGCAGCAACAACGATGCTGCCAGAATTCGCCATAAAGCTTCTAATTGAATAATTCGGCAGTAACAATTAATCAAACATACCTCCTCAGCTTCTTCGTCGCGGGATCACCGGCTTCATCGCCGTCGTCAGCCTCATCAGCCCTCGCGGCCTCGGCTCCGCCGTCATCCGACGAGCCCGGCTCCTCCTTGTCGCCGGGCACGTCGACAATCTCGGCGCACCCATCGCCGGGGGAGTCAACGAGCACGTCGAAGATGAACCTGTCACAAAACTCCTGGCTCGATTCCGCCCTAACCCCATCGCCGCCGCCGCCACCGACTCCCTCTCCGTCCTCCTCCTCCTCCCCCTCGTCCCTCATCAGGATGCTCTCGATCTCGTCGATCCACGAGAGCCCCGAGTCCGGAGACGGCGTGGCGCCCTCCGCCGACGACGAAGGGGGGCAAGCGCCGAGCACGTCGCCGGCGTCCGGGAGGTCGCCGAAGAAGCAATCGAGATCGATTTGGGACATCACGTCGTCGACTTCCACGTGCAGCTCCAGATCCTCCATAGGACACTAAAAAGAAAACGACGAAAAAATCAAACGGGACAAAAGGGATGAGGAAAAGGGAAGACGGGGGGAGGAGACGGAGCCGACGGCGGCGAGGATCTACCGGAGCATCCGATTCCAGATTATATTTGGGTGGGGGGAAGGGGGGGGGGGGATTTCTAGGGTTTTTGTTTCAGCGAATTCGATCGATCATGGTCGAAGAAGAAGGAGGAAGAAGATGGAATTCGAGAGAGCAACGGGGAGGGAGCGCGAGGTTTTATTATCATCTTCCGAAACCGCGATGCCATCACCGGGCCAATGAAATCCCGACGCGTGGAAGGTCGGTGGGCTCGGCGGCCGCCACGTCAGGAATCGCTCCTGCTTCGCGGAAATTTCCCACGCTGCTTCCGGGGAATCGGTCCGCTCTATATTTCTGCTTCGCGGAAATTTCCCAATTATCCTACCAATGGGAGATTACTATCGTCTTGTCATAAAGTCTGGACTTCGATACATTTACGTCCAGATCGTGGAATTTGATTGGAAGTCGCCGTTTAAATAACATTGGAGGCAGGAGTGGGTGTAATCGATCCTAGTCGAATCGATACGGTGTCGAATTTGAGCTCGACTCGATCGGGCAAAACTCGGGACTTGAAAAGTCAGCTTTGAACTCAACGAGCATCAAAGATTCAAAAATATAGCTTGAAAGTCAACTTTAAACTTCTTTTGTGACAACAAAAACCTCGAGCTGTGTTCATTATGACATATTTTGTTAGATGTATGCCCTAAAGTCATCATGTAATAGTTACATGTTAGGGATTTAAGTTGTATTTTCAATTTCATTATTTATTTAATGGCAATGACGTATTTATTCATTTGTCCAATTATTTAAATATATGAATGATTCCATAAGATCAGTTGTGACTGGACCTATTCTTGAGACGTTAAGAATATGTGTGACGGGTTCACAGTTAGACTGAATCTTTAAATTGTTCCTGGTCGATGGATCATTGAGTGGGTATTAATAATCATGTTGAGACCGGTGTGTTCTTAGCTTCACCATTAAGGCTCCGTTCGTTTGGCGGAAAATATTCTCCTTTTGGAAAATATTTTCCCGGAAGTCATTTTCCTGGAAAATGTTTTCCCGGAACATAATTTTCCGGTGTTCGGTGATCAATATGAAAAAGTTTCGGAAAATATTTTTCGCCGCGGCGGTGGCGGCCGGCGTGGCGGCCGGCGGCGGCGGTGGCCGGCGACCGCGGCGGCCGATCGGCGGTGGCGGCCGGCGGCGGCGGCCGACCGGCGGTGGCGGCCGGCAATGGCGGATGGCGGCGGGCGACCAACGGCGGCCGGCAACCGGTGGCGGCGGCGGCCGGCCGGCGCAACCGGCGGCGGCGGCAGCCGGCGCGGCGGCAACCGGCGGCGGCGGCGGCCGGTGACCGGCGGCGGCGGGCGACCAACGACCTTAGTGAAGAAGAAGAAAAAGAAGAAGCTCCGGAAAATGATTTCCGCTTTTGAAGAAGCGGAAGTCATTTTCCATAGACTTAGGCTATTTTGTGAGGGGGGGAAGGAAAATATTTTCCCACGGAAAACGTTTTCCGCCCCCCAAACACCGGAAAACCCGAAAAATATTTTTCGTAAGAATATTTTCCGCCAAACGAACGGAGCCTAAGTATTGGATATTTAAGGGAATAACGAGTCATGAGTCATTGGGTATTGTGATGCCCGAGCTAGAACACAGGTGTTTGTATCAGACAAGTTCACTGAACGTGAGACGCATATAACGATTAGAAACATGGAAGCTTTTAGCGTGGTCAATGCCTAATCATTCATGCTCTGGTCTTGTGTAAATAATCCTTAGACCTGAGGCACAGTGTTGACTTGTGTGTTGGATGGCTATGGTTCACAGGTGCACATATTGCTGGTTCATTGATCCGTCTCTGTACTTGATGGCCATAGTTCGTTCACATACGAAGTTACACGTGTGCGCAAAATGGAATCTGTCTCCTTGTTATACACAAGGTACAATAATGATGTCCTATGCAATCTAATCTTGACATTGCATTAAAATCTTCGGCCGGGGTTGTAACCGGGAATGAACTGTTCATGTCTCATATAAAATGCATGTCAATTAGATTTGTGCATATGATCGAATTGGTGACTTGACAAATATTCCATGGTCTTTGTTCGATCGGGACATAGTAAGGCAGAGGGATTGAATTATACTGTAACTAAAGCTGACAGGTTCATTATGTTCTTAAAACATTCACACTGTCTGGATAGCCATGACATATTGCTAGATGTCAATCATGGCTTGTAGGACCTAGAGGTTGATCGGGACAATCAATTCTCTTGGGAGTACTAACGTGTTAGTGCAAGTCCTACTACTAGATCAGTGATGAACCTAGGGATGTCACACACCATAATCAATTTAGAATGACGTCGTACGGAGGATGCAATATTGCAAATATGTTTGCAATTATAGCAATCGATCAGTGAGATTGTAATTAAATTAATGTGATTTAATTTCATTTTATTTTCGGTCACGAGCGTGCGTGCATATGATGCACACGCAAACCTAAAGTGGACACATGTTAATGTGCCAAATGATCTCGCACTCTTAATTTTATAAAATTAAATTAATTAAAAGTATACACGGTCAACAAAACATCACGATTTTTTATGGACGAGCAAGGCAAATGGAGTAGGACATTCAATGGGTAAAAAAACACAAAAAAAACAGAGATACTCATTTAGTAGATTTTCGCTAGCTCCTCCCAAACATTTTCGTCTCCTTGGTTCTACAAAACATCGCGATTCTTTTGAAAGGCCAGTTGCTTCACTTTCAGACTCTAGACATTGCTTATTTTGCGATCGGTTCATAGTGTGAGCTATGAATCGATAGGGAGACGCGCGTGATTCAATTGAATTCTAAGAGCGAGGTTTTCCTCGCCGCGCGAGCACGATGGCTCCGGCAAACGAGACACCTTTTCTCAACACATGGATTTGTCTATCGTAGGATTCCGGCAGAAGTATCAATATGATACGAAGAACTTTGACACTGATAACACGGCCCTTCAAAACATTGAAATTCTTTACCTTGGCTGTAACCCAATATGTTCAAAGATCAGTGTTTTGTTCTCCGAGAAAAAGTCTTTGGTTTATGATTTATTTTATAGTTATTTGAGTGTGATTCACACTCCCCTCCGATAGGAAGGCACAAGGATCCGAGGGCCGCCCCGATGGGGGTTGCGGGGCCAGCGCCCCTGAGCCGCCAAAGGACTTTTATGGCTTGAGCCTATATTTTGTTTTAGTAGTTTGGGCTTGAGAAGATAAATAGTTACTCGGTATATATAATATATTTTTCTTATAATTGAGGGACGTAGCAGAGAGGTACGGGATGCTAATTACAGTGAAATTCTCTACTGGATGTAGTCTTAATTTAAGGATGAATCAGGATAAAAACCTTATGTCTCAATTTTTTTTTATCGCTTTTATTCTCTATTTCCTTGTGATTGTGTGCCGGCCCTAACACTGGCCGTAATTATAACGCAGCTCTAGGCTCAAGTGGTCCCTTCTTCTCAAAGCTTCAACCTTTTGACACCAGACTTACCCTTCTTTGATAAATCACACGCTCGGTCCTAGCCCAAGCCATCATTGTCAATCGCCGTCAAGCTCGAGCGATTGATGAAGATATGGCCGCCCTTCTTTGAGAAATCACACGCTCATCCCAGGCCCAAGCCGTCATTGCCTATCGCCGTCGAGCCCGCGTGATCGATGAAGAAATGGCTGCCTTCGGAAAGAAGAAGATTTGGAGAGTGGACCAAAGGAAGAAGGATGAAGAATATCAGAAGAAACAAAAAAAAGGAAGAGGAAAAAAGAGTTTGGACAAAGACCACAAGGCATGTGAGATGCGGGCGCGCTCACCGGAGCTCTTCTTCGAGGCTACTTTGCTCACTTCATGTCCTTATTAAAGACAAATTTCAATATAAGCCCTCTTTAGAAAAAAAAGATCATATTCCAGGTCCTTATTTGGAATTCTTCCGAAATACCGTGGCGTTTGTGAGATACTGATATCTGATATAAAGCAGCTCAACGGAAAGAAATTTTATCCAGAAAGCAAAAACCGGGAGACTGATCTGGACAGTTCGCTATGGCGTCTTTCGCTTCCGCGGTCGCCATCGGCGGGCCAGCAAGAGGCGCGATCCCGCCGCCGTTGTCGCCCTCCCTGAGATCCGGCCGCTCCTTCTGCCCTCCCGCCGTCTCGCTCCCCGCCGCGCGAGGGGGTGCCGCCTCCCGCCGCCGCCGCCGCGGCGGAGGGGGAAAGAGGGCGGCCGCGCTCGCGGTGAGGGCGATGGCGCCGGCGAAGTACGAGGGCACGCGGCTGAGGGAGGAGCGCCTGGCGGAGATGATAGAGGAGAAGGTGAGGGAGGCGAGGGAGGTCTGCGAGGGGGACGCGAGGTCCGACGAGTGCAAGGTGGCGTGGGACGAGGTGGAGGAGGTGAGCCAGGCGAAGGCCGATCTCAGGCTCAGGCTGGAGAAGCAGCAGGACCCGCTCGAGTCGTTCTGCGAGCAGAATCCCGACACCGACGAGTGCCGCCTCTACGAAGATTGAAGGAATCGAAGATCGGGGGCCGCCTCCGCTTCCGGTGATCGGCTTCGCCGGTTCAGTTCCGAAGGTCGGAGAAGTGTGTGTACATGTGTGCGTGCTTGTGACGGCGATGTGTCTTTTGCTTTTGTATGCGTTCTGGGGAACTGGTGCTCCGAATGCTATTGGTGCACAGTTGTGTTCATGTATCTGAGAACATTTGCCTAATGACTATAGCACCTTTCGAACATTGTTCCTCTCCCGCAATGGGAATTCGATCATGTTGATCCGACATTTTCTTGTTAGAAACGTACGGACACGGCCAGGCATCGGCGCCGGCCGGTCAATACCGAAGAAGATGAACCTGAGACCTTCAAATGTATTAGCACTGGCTGATCAAAATTATCCATATGGTAAAACAGATGCAGCTACGATAATAACGATACAGCTAACGAGTTCGAGATCGTGCCAACGATCTTAACCGAGATGCGCCGCTGAGCGGTCTCTCGGGGAATCATAACGCCGAAACAAAAAAGTTCCAAGGGACCCGAAAATAAAAATAAAGAACCAGTGATTGATCATCTTTTCTAATCTCTTCTACTTGGTCATCACTCTTCGTCGGCAGCCATGGCTTCGCCTACATCGACAGTGAAATTATACTCCTGGTCGCAACCCAGGTACGAGTCGCACATGAAGTAGAGGCTGTACGTCTTCTTTCCGGCTTCTGGAGGGGCGGTGAACTCGAGCTTGACCTTGGACTTCCTTTGAAGAGACACCCTCTTGATAGCGAGCAACTGGTTGGTCCTCGTGTCGCCGATGACGAGCCACCACCCTTCTTCCTTGGCTTTGGGATACCTAGGGGCATCGACTGGGCCAACGTCAGTTCTCCCCTCCATATCCCTTTCAAGCATCACCTGCAGCGTTACGTCGTCCCCGGCACCAACGCTGTCGTCATTGAGTACCTCGTAGGTGAGGTCGATGTTGGGGAAACGGTTGCAAAACCTTGCAATGTCCAGCAGCTGAGAGTCCGACATCTGCAGTAGCTCCTGCCTCTCCCCATCCTCCATTTCCAGCAGATCAAACACAGTCTCCACACTCTTCCCGGGGTTCTCCTGGCATTTCTTGGCCAGATCCTTGGTGAAATGCGGGAGCTGTAGAAGCATCGAATCGCGCTCCCACATGCCTTGTGTCACCATCTGGCTTACTTCCATCGCAAGAAGCGCGAGGCTCAGCCACCCACTACTTGATATAACATCCACCATCGCCTGAAGCAACCTGCTAGCAGAAAGGAGGACCTCCCGTTGATCCGATGCCAGATTGCCACCCAGGGGCTGCCTCGAGAAGTGGGCCTGAAGCAAGGCGTTGGCCTTCACGTGTGGGTCCGTGGCTTTGGGGTTCTCAAAGGAAAACCTCTGGTGGTTAATTAGCCTCCGAACAGCGTCCTCCTCTCCCGGTCGAATGGGAAGTAGTGCATATTCTGAAGCAGACGACAGAATCTCCAGAAGACCCTTCATCTTCGTTTTAGAAGTCAAGGAAGAACTGAACCGCTCTATAGTAGTATAACTGATATAGTAGTATGATGCAATCATGCCAAGATTTAAAGGAGAAAGGTCGATATCATCCTCAATAAGGACGCATTTACTAGCTTCCAGGTCGTTCAAAGTATTCTCCACAAGCTCGGAAAGGTGATCGGACAGATGCCTATGGCTCACCCCCTGGAGATTGTAGTAATTTGGGTTTTGCGTCAGCCTCCTGTACATGAAAGTCCAAGTCAGGTAATCCACGGCATCCTGCTTGTTCTCAATAATTCCAGCAACAACTTCTGCGTTCAGATTATCATGCAGGAAGTGCTGTAAATGGCTCTCCACAGGGAAAGCCTCATACAAGAATTTCTTGTAGTACTCTTTACGAGGCGCATGGCAAAGGATAACACATTTTCCAGAATTATCTATCAATGGCCGGCTAGCACGACCCATCATCTGCAGAAGATCTGTGACAGGGTAATCCGTGTGCGCGTTCTCCCGCCCATCATAGTATTGTGTTCCCATGACAACTACCAAGTATGCTGATAAGGGCACTCCCCAACACATGGAACTGCTCATGACACAGACCTGAATACGACCAGCTTCAAAGAGCTGTGTGACCACCTGTTGGTCAAGACTAGACAACCCCTCGTGCAAATAGCCAACCCCATGTCGCAAGGTGGTCCTCAACGTTTCTTCACTAACGTTGTCAATAAAAGTCTCCACATCTTCATAGGAGCATAGTAAAAATGGAGGATTCTCCCCACCTTCTGCACTTGAATAAGTCATCAAGTCCACTGCAGTAAGTCGGACATGCTTTCTGGTGGGAACAAACACAAGAGCAGGCTTCCCATTCTTAGCATGCTGTACAACTGCTGTGTATGTCGGTTTCGTCATTGCTTGCATCCTCGCCTCAAAATTAGCAATGTCCACTCCTTGTATGTGAATCTCCAGGGGAGCAGGGCGGACATTGGGCGGGAAGTTGAAAAGACCATGGGAAGTGGCGCCAATCCATTCACCAAGGTCCTTTGCATTCGCAAGTGAAGTAGACAGAGCCACAATTCGAATCTTGTTCTCCTGACTTGCTATATATCTCATCCTGGAGACAACCACCTCCAATACCGGACCACCTTGACCCCCAATCAAGTGGAGTTCGTCAATTATAAAAAGACTAACCTGTTGAACCTGCTTCCGCTGCTTCCATCTACGAGATAAGGCATCCCACTTCTCTGGAGTGCTGATGATAATCTGGCCCTTCTCAAGCAATTTCAAGTCTGTTGCAGTTTCCCCAGTTAGTTCAACCACCTTCATCCCAAGACCATCCCTCCCAAACTTCCTATTCCAATCTCGGAAGCGTTCCTTGGCCAGAGCTTCCATAGGAGCAATATAAACAACACGCGTGATGTTGTCAGGTCCTTTCTGGTGATTTCTTAAGATAGCAAACTCTGCACATATGGTCTTTCCACTCCCAGTAGGAGCAGCAACAAGGACATTGTCATCTGTGTTGTAGAGCACGGTGAAGACCTGAGTTTGAACAGGATTGAAATTCTTGAAGTCCTTGTACAAGGCTTCATACGACGGGTTTCTTAAAGCAGTCACGGGCAGTGGCTGCAAGTCCAGTAACTCTGTTGGTGGAGGATACTTTTCCGGTAAAATAAGATGCCTGAAGGAAACAGGCAAAACAGTTTGTGACCCAAGCCACCTATCTGACACAACACGAATGAAGTATTGGGGAGGCAATGGTTCATAGATTGGAACCGTGAAATTCAAAGTGTGGTCTTCATCAATGTACTGCTTCTTCAGCATAAAGTATTCGTGATGAAGAATGTATTCGCCATCGTTGTCCTCCACAATCACCCAAAATGGTTCGACGTACCCATGAACTTTGTCCTCCCACTGAAAGTCTGGTGTAATCGTGAGTTCAACCCTCAAGACAGATCGAGTAATTGGCAGAACATGTGCTGCAAGGTTCAATTTTGCGAATTGGTGGATGAACTTATGCAACATTCTTCCCTGCTTTGGTGCACGAATTAGCTCTCCTAACTCCTGTGAAGAGAGGTCATAGTACCTTTCCCAAGCTAAATCCTTCTTCTCCAACTTTGAAAGAATCTCATTAGGAATCCCAGTAAATTGACGAAGTGGTGTTTGGACACTCCACATCCTCCTGTTGACCATCTTGCAGAGGTTCAGAGCCTTCTCAGCCAACTGTGCCCATCCCCTTTTAAGGACAATCTCAAAAAGAGATCGCAGAAGACGTCCAGCACTCTAACCAAAAATAAATAAATAAATTAGTTAAGATTCAAATGATGCTACAGTGAGCAAGATATAATCAAGATGATGGAAATCAGAGGAAAATGTACCTGAGTTATGAAAACCATATCTGAAGTCAATGAAAGCCCTTCAAGCTTTAGCTGAGAAATATATGCTTGAAGCAAGACATTGATCTTGGCACTAGGCTCCTCCAGACTTTCTTTCACAGGTATGGGAACTCGATCCAAAAGCTTCGCTAGCTCCATCTTCTCATCTTGTCTCACTGTCACATACTTAAATTCTTCACTCAGTGAGAACAACCGACATAACTCAATATCCCCCATTGTCGGCTTCAAGTGTTCATTATACGTGGATATTGTCCCATGTGTTATGTAATAGTAACTAGCTATGCGACCCAAGTCAGTAACCTGGAAATATCCGCTTTTCCTATCATACTTAACCAAATTATTCTTATCCAGGATGCTAGCAGCAGTGTGAATCTGCACAAAAAACAGAAAATACAATATATATAAGTGAAATGAGAGATTAAACGTTCAAGTTCGCCGCATGTCCTAAAAACATAAATAAACAGCAAATCTGGGTTACTAGGAACGGAGAGAGAAAAGATCTCAAAAACCAGTAAAATTGAAAATCAGATACCACACAGGAGAGGCACATTCTAGCAACTCAGTTCTTAATCTTTGCACAGACAAATAGAAGCATATGTACCACCCTGATTCATTTTAAAGCAAAAACAGGGGAAACATTGCCCACTATCCACCACTTTTGAACCATAAACATCGCTTGAGGCTACAAATCACCTCTTTATAAATACCCCAATATCCAAGTAGAAAGAATCAAAGTTCAGGCAAACCCATGCATATTGAATGATTAATGGCATTCTAAAATTCATATGCAGTTCCATAGCACGTCATTGAATTGACACTAAATTCACATTATCGAGTTTCATCGTAAAATGAAATCTCAATTCCTTCACTCAAGGCACATATTCTACCCTGAAAAAACTTTTTGTTCCTGAAGAAAAGTGGAACGGACATAAAACTGAAGAGATTCCTCCCTCGTTCTGTCTTCCTCTTCACATGATAATCAATTCTCCGTTAGGGTCACTATTCCTTCTATTCACGTGTATTTCATCGAATAAACTTTCCATCTAGCAGAAGAAAGAGTGAGAACAACAAGAAAACAACCAGATCAAACAGTTTTTTGTCCTAAAGACATCTGGCAACACATTCTATGTTGTTATGAACTATTGCAAAACCAACACAAAAAGAACTAGCATAGTTAAACTGAATGAGAAAAGAGCTCACACAAGATAAAAGGAAAAAAAATACCAGAAAGGACAAGAACATCTAAAACTCAAAAGTCTGTTAAACAATGAAATAAGAAGTGGAAAAGGCACCACGTCTACTATGTTTGAGCATGTATCCATATAAGATAATCTCAAACATTAAAAT